AAAAATTAGGTGTCTATTTACTTGTGACCACTCAGTGTATATATAAATATAATATGAAATTTAGATTGAATATTGTGCTGGCCCTTATTATGCTTTCCTCAATTAAAACCTGTTATGGTACATCTAGTAAATTTTTGTTGTTGTTGTGATTCAATGCATTTCTCTATTAAAATTTATTTATACCATACTAATGTTCTATTATTCTGTAAGAGCTTCTTAGTTTTATTTTTAACAATTTGTTTTGATATTTAAAATATCTTCATTATTTGTATTATATATGTTATTGAAATATTGTATTCTATGCTGCATCAGTTTCCCACGAAATAAATGTACCTCTTGATCAGTTTAATAAATGAAGCGGGAGTTTTTTTTTAAAAAAGAGTTCTAACTATGTAATGTTACTCAATATTTCTGTGACAGGTTTTGCGAGAATTTCCTGACGAACTTAGAGGTGACGTTTCGATGCATCTGAACAAAGAAATACTCTCCTTACCGATATTCGAGACGGCCCCCCAGGGCTGTCTGAAACAGCTGGCTCGTCACATTAAGAGTAACTTTTGTGCACCTGGTGAATATCTGGTGCATAAAGGAGACGCCTTAGGATATATTTATTTTGTTTGCAACGGTTCGATGGAAGTATTACAGAATAGCATGGTTGTCGCCATTTTGGGTAGGTAATAAATATGTATTACTATTGTCATATGGTACCTTATGCCATCTGATAAAAAGTAATTGACCAGAAGATAGTATTTTAAGAGTCCTTTAGGTTGATTTATTTTCACTAGAATCTCCCCCCCCCCCATATTTTGTAGTTCTCCAATCTATTGATTTATTCTGAAAATCTTCATTTATTAAGCACATAATACGATATAACTAACTGACCAATTATTAATTATTATCTCTTTGTATCATATCCAGGGGCGGTGGTAAGGAATGGGGGCTTGCTAGGGCTGGTGCTACCTCACAATGTGCCGTAGCCTCCCGCGTAGTCTACGCACCCAACAAAATGTTTAAAAGTTATTTTTGTTTCTTTTCTTAAACACTACAGTATATGTGCCCACAGTGCATTCCCTCAGTGTTGTGTCTAGTCCGTCTTAGCACCCTCGCCGGGAAGAGGCTGGCGCCGCTCCTAGGTTATCATACCTCACTGTTAGTCTTAGGACCTGGATAAACCATTTGATGAGTGATAGTCCGTTAGTCCGAGAGCCCATTACTCCGAAGACCCGATAGTATAAAGATGTAAGTTTGTTTTTGTTTTAACAGTTAAAAGTCCTAAATGGATTATTTGGTTAAATTTGTAAAATTTTATGGCAAAAACACCCCAGGATATGACTAAACGGTTGCAATTTCTCATGAATGGATGGAAATTGTTTATCATTATTTCTCAGATGTTATTTCCATGTATGTATGTATTGTATTAGCTGCAGGATTGGATTTGGGAATCTAGCCTTTCTGAGAGAATGGACATTCAAAATTATTATTCCATAGTGTTCTTATTCCATGTTATATCCCCGACTCATTAAACATGTTCAAAATTTCCAGTCAATAAGATTATTTTGACACCAAGCCAATGCAATGAGCTGTACACTACAGGTGTCGATTTAAATCTATTTGTTGTTTGTATTTAAAACGAGAACAAGCCATCAGGGACAGATGGCCCCCCGGACCCCCGCCAAGTTGTACCTTTAAATTTTCATTTGAGATTGCATTAATCTATTATACATTAAGCATATGTAATCAATAGTCGGTTTACTGATAAATGTAATGCAAGCTTTGATACAAATTTACATTAAGCATATGTAATCAATAGTCGGTTTACTAACAAATTTACTGCAGGCTTTAATACAAGTTTACATTAAGCATATGTAATCAATAGTCGGTTTACTAACAAATTTACTGCAGGCTTTGATACAAGTTTACATTAAGCATATGTAATCAATAGTCGGTTTACTGATAAATGTAATGCAAGCTTTGATACAAATTTACATTAAGCATATGTAATCAATATTCGGTTTACTGATAAATGTAATGCAAGCTTTGATACAAATTTACATTAAGCATATGTAATCAATAGTCGGTTTACTGATAAATGTAATGCAAGCTTTGATACAAATTTACATTAAGCATATGTAATCAATATTCGGTTTAGTAATAAATGTACTCTAGGCTTTGGTACAAGTATATATTAGGCGTATTGAATTCATACTTAATATATCAGTAAATTTACTTCTGAAGTTACTACAGAATTAGAATTATGCGTACTTAATCAATATTTACTACACTTATAAATATTCTATTACATCACACAGTGTAGGTAATACATGGTAGATTAATGCTAATTTAGTTAGAAATTGACCTTATACTCAAATGGTTTTGTCTGCCGAATTCATTACTTTATATAAGTTAATGAAGAAAGAAAGATACTTTAAAATCCATTAATAAAATATTTGGTGTTTACGTTCTAATATACGAACGAAGCATTAAGCTGAATATTATCTCCATGTTTTTGTTAATACTGTTTCTAATTCAATTTTCATATTTCTAATTAATGCTCATCAAATGGTAACCGCCCAATATTCCGAAAACCCGATAGTCACAGATTTTTGGTTTTCGCACTATATGTCAAAATTGAATGAATAAAGAGATTCGTAGGTCTTATATATCCTAAATATGCTTAATTCTAAATTTTAACAATGTCTAGAGTAGGTTTACTAGTTTATTAAAATATTACAGTTTATCATAAAACATTAGTATGAGGCCTGTTACATTATTTTTGCTTAACACTGTTGTTATTAATATTTGCTGTAAGTTTACTAATACACTGAATTTAGGTGTTCTTAACATTAAATGTCAACAGTAAGTTTACTAGTAAACTGTGTTAGTGTATTAAATTGTATTAATGCCAACAGAAAAGTTACTATTCAGTGTAATTTTCACATTCCTAGCGTATGATAACTAATGCCAACAATAGTTGCCTATATTCATAAGTCTGTTTTCGTTTTTCCCGAAACAGGAAAAGGAGATCTTGTGGGATGTGATATTTCAACTAATTTAAATGAAACCGTTATTAAATCCAGTAGTGACGTCAAGGCCCTGACCTACTGCGACTTAAAATGTATTTATATGCCAGGTTTGATGGAAGTCCTGAAGTTATATCCAGAATTTGCTGAAACTTTCTGTCATGATATATTACATGACCTGACCTTTAACCTCAGGGAAGGTTTTGAAAATGAGGTATGTAATGACACTTCACCTGAATTTGTTTGAAACTAGGATTTATTACTAATTTGCATTTTGTTTTTCATCGTGCGAGTTTAATAGATTAATTATATATATACATAATACTCAATGGTAATGATTGTTATATATTAGAATTTTTTAATGGTCTGAAAATGAGTTAACTGATAATTCAAATTTAGTTGTTAAATTGTACTTTGGATTTAGTATTTAAATAAATGCCGATAAATAGTCAGTTTGTAATATTTGCCAACAAGATTGATACACACAGTTTTCTTTTTTAACACAAATATGTTTTAATATACACATAACAGTACAACTTAAAATAACGATTATTACAAATAGGTTATGTTACAAATAGTTATTACAAACAATGATTCATAAACAAAAGTTTCACATACTTACAAACAATA